AATATCAAATACTAATCCCAAATAACCAACTTGGATAGCCATGATAGCAAATAATTCTCTCACAGTAGTCCCCTTCAAAGTGTTTATTGCAGATGCACCTAAGTGAAACCTGTAGTTTTGCTAAAAGAAAATGTTTTATGGCAGAAAATTACCTTCCATGCTTGATGATTCCATTGTCACACCTACTGGTAAACTGACATTCATCACCAAAGAAGGAACCTATACATTCACACTTGTTGTCTTTCCACTCACCTCTATTTCCGCACTAAAAAACATGAGCGATTGCACAGAATATTATTTAAAGTTATGTTTATGATACACTGCAGGAGAAAGATTTTAAAAAACGTGCAACAGTTTACCCTGTCAGTCAAGTGATACTCGCATAGGTCTCCCTTCCAGCCTTCATCGCAAATGCATGGTTTACTAAATATGAGACTGAGTGGATCGTATCTCCTCCCCACAGATATTCCATGAACTAAAAGTTCTCCATAAAAGCATGGGGTTAAAGCAAAAGGGTATTCCTCGATACCGCAGGCAAACTCCTCGCAAGTTTTCCCAGTGTGTGGATGAATACAGTGGCATTGTCCTCCCGCATAGATGCCACCATTTCGGCATTTTGATTTCGGATCATTTTTGCGAATGTTGTCATGAACGTCACGTTTGTCGAGAATCCTAAACAATGGCTAACTCTGCTGCTCAAAAAAATGTTACACTTTTGAAAGTGAATTTCCAAAGTTAAGGATCAAAATAGTATTTGATTTGAACCTAAATATGAAGAAGCATTGATAGTGTAATTTAAAAGGAGATAAGAAGGACGCATAGTTTGGGGAGCACGATGAGAAGTAAGTCGCAATACCCAAAAAATGTGATCACAACTTGGCCGCTTGCAATTTTTCCATTTCGAAAACTTTGCTAGACCTTGGTGATTCGTTTTGAAGTGCTGTTTTAAACTTAGACTCCTATTTCAAATCTTTTTCCGTCACGGTTTCGTTGCGGACAAAATTGTGGTCTAAAATGTGTGGCTCCATGACAGGCGTATGGTACCCGCGGTAATTTGGCCAGAAAATTGGCGATAACAAATGGCTATCACAACTGAGATCAACACCAAATAATCTCACCAGACATTTTCCACCCCCTGGTGAGCTATTTTTGGTCCAAGGTCTAATAGTAATTTCTACAATAATTCCAGAAAAATTCTAAGAAAAACCGTTTACAGGGAGTCTTCACAAGCTATTCAAAATGAGCTAGTCTTAACGGCCAACGGTCATTACTTCTGGGACATTGTATCCATCTAATACTACTTATCATTATTGTAAAATTATGTTTAGAATCTGCTTGAAAGAGAAATGAAGTGGTAACAAAAAATTGCAATTTATTCAAAGGCATTCGACGTTTAGCGATCATTTTAAATTTCCTCACATCAAGGCAATTTTACTCAAAAATTGTAATAGATATTACGCAGCTTGCATGTGTTGTTCTATTGCAGATTGATGTTACCATTCTTTTGATGAGAATACTATCACACTACTTCTCTGCAGCTCTATTCTAACTAATTTAAATGGTGCCCCCAGAAGGGTAATTGGCATATTTCAAAAATCTCTGAAGAGCGAACAACACATGAAAGTTGGTTAAATCCTCGTTCAAAAAATTCATAAATGTGGTAGATAAGCATACAGCTTTTTTATAAGGCAAAGACATATATAGTAAAGCCTATGACCGGTTTTTGCATTAGCTCGATCTTCATTTGATACTTACATGTGCAGATGGCTAATGTGAGGTATAGCTTTCTGAGATTCAAAATACTATTTTACTTTCAACCTTAATTAC